TAATTCATCCCGACATCCCGGTGTGTCTGCCGTCTCTGGAGCCGCCGCCGCCATCGCGTAGGTGTCTTTAACGAGCGCCCCGACGCGACATAAAATACCCGCCTGCATCTGCAGCGATCGGAATAGATCCACGCACGAAAACTAACATTCAAAACAATCTCATTCCCGAAGAACACGCGACAAACAACACGACCTAATACTTAATACTATTTCTTCACCGAGTGTGGAACGCGTGCGTGAATGCACGTAGGCCATATCAACTCGGTTGAAATTAACAGCAAGAGAAAAATAAAAGGAAAAACGAAAAAAAATGTGAAAAGTTGCGTCGAGGGAAATTAATTCTTTTCACTATTCATTAGTTGCAGCGTTTAATTGTTGAGTGGCGAGACGCGCGCATCTGTGGACGATTATTCTGTCGCCGGGAACTACTAACACATTTTTTCGAAAATTACGCGGCCACGTGGCTAATTCGAGCCGGAATTTGAATGGAAATATTTGTGGTCCAATATTGGAACACATGAATCTATTTTTACTCCGAAAAAATGCCAAAAATGCCCGAAATACGAAAATAAAGCGATTTTTGTAAATTTCACGCTCGATTATTTATTGAAATGATTTAATCTTTACGTGTACATGCACAATGAAGTATGCAGCTGATGTATATACTAATAAAGTGTATGGGTGTGTCGTACACATCTTGTGTGCATGAAAAAGTGGCTGTTTTTGACTTTTAGTGGGCTTTTTCCGCATCGCCGGGCTCCCTTTTTAAGCGATCGTGATGTGCCATTGTGTGCTCGTGCTGAAAGCTGAAAGCTCGTTTGTTCGGCCGATCGAATGAGCGCGCTCGCGCGCAGATAGCCTTCTCGGCTCATTAATTTAGCTTCGGCTATTATTCCCCGATGTGGATAACTACGCAAAATGCGTCAAAGGCAACACAACTAATCACTATCGACCATGTATGCAGCAAAATCTAAATACGGTCGGTAAGGTAGATATCTGTAATGGGTTTTGCGCATATTTGAGGTTAAATAAGTTTTTATAACCTACTAGCTTTAACCCACGGCTTCGCTCGCGAATATCTAAAATAATGAAGTTTCCGTACGCGTCTGTAGTCACAGAAGAAGTAACAATGAAGTAGAATGGCGGGAAGTTTAAAATGGCTGAAAGTATAGTCTATGGAAGTCTCCATAGTGTAGTTAATTGGATTTGATGTTGACGTAGCTGTCGGTAATACAGTGTGATAATACAGTGTGATGGTACTATAGTACTTAGGTTTGAGCTTTATTGCTGGAATGCTAGATGGCGTTAAAGTAGTCAAATAGCCAGATGCAGAGGTATTAATGGCTAAACAATTTCTTTATTTTATTTAAAAAATAATTTTTTTTATTAAATAAAAAGAAGCCTATAACCATTCGGGGACCACTAAGAATATGTGTACAAATTTCCATGATGATCGGTTAAGTAGTTTTTGCATGAAGGTGTAACAAACATCAGGACTTTCGCATTTATAATATTAGTAAGGAATAAAGTATTTTTAAGGTTAGAATAGGTAATTATATGAATTTTTTACTTATTAATTGTTTAAAAAACGTAAAAATAGCAAAAATGGTGTTGAAATTTCGAAAGTGTGAATTATTACTTGTTAATAATCAAAATTACTAATGTTTCTAATTAATACTAATCGAATAGTGATAATCTAGAACAGGAAACCGCAATACTACAAAATAATTAACAAACCACAAGCATTAATAAATTTAATTTGGTCAATATCCAACGCCACAATTCCAAATTACCTAATTCCAATTAACAACCCACGAAAAAATGTTAATTACCGCGTGAATTTCCCAAAAACACGTTTTGGACATTCCCGCGAATTTTCGCGTTTTATCGCTTGGAAAACGCGCCTCCACCGCCATTATCCGCTCCTTATTCCTTTCCAATTTCGCTCCCCTTTAACAAAACTATAAACTTTAACTTTCCCACCACTGGCGTGGCCGCCGCTTGCCGGAAATCTATCCGCACTTGCAAATAGCATCCGAATCTTTGGAACGCAAGCCCCCGGAAAACGACGCCGTTTAAAATAAACGAGATCGTCGGCGGGCGGCAATTTACATTGAATTTCAACATCTTAAGACGATTACAATCTGTAATTTACTGTTTGGGAATTAACACAAATCAGTTTTCTAATTAGAGTCCCCGGCTCGTTTTAAACCGCCCCATAATAATTGTCTTCCATTGCAACGATATCGTTTGTCAAAGCGCCGCTGTAATAACAGTCACATATAATTACGGCGCGTTTTTCATTGCAACTTGAACTTACATACAAGTTGCCAGTCTTGCCCGTGGGTTAAATTATTATCATCCGAGATTCATTCAGGTTCATTTCACGCGCAACATTTTATTTTCGACGGCGAGTGTAAGTGTCTTGGAATGCGAAATTTATGAATTGATTAATCGCCTTTTGATTGTCCCGCTCGCGGTGCGGTTGGAATGCGTGCGTTCCCAGCGAATACCGGTAGCTCGCGGTAGGCGTTTCGTGGCGTGTCTAGGCATCGCTGATTAAATTCTCACAAGCGTGCAATTTGCAAACGAGCGCGCCGCCGAGTGCGCGAATGCCGACTGTGATTGCGAGCGCAAATTGTGCGATCGGCAGTATTATCAACTTCTCGATTTACAATCGCCTTCTGCGGCTTCTGCAGCGACATATCACATTGCAGGTCAAAGTTATTGCATTGGATACTAATTAGGTTTTGATCATATCAATTCCAATTCGCATTAGAATTGGTTATGTATGGCTTTGTTTCGTTTTATGAACATCAGAGGGCGGGTAGTTTAATTTTTCATCGCTATATCTCGAATATCTCGTAAACTAAAAGAGATAACTAAGATCCGATCGCAGCGTCTTAATCTACGGTCTATTCTCTATCAGATATGATAGTTAAAACGAAAATCTGAGAGATGAAATTTTAATTCTTAAGAAAAAATTGCCAAGGGGGGTGTTTGATACTTTTTCGACGATTTTTGATACCAATATCTCTAAAACTAAAAAGCGATAGCATAAACCAACGAATCGCGATTACTATAAAGATTAGAAAATTCCCTCTATCAGATCAAAATATAAAATAATTATATTTCTACAGAAAAGGTCAAAAATCTACTAAAAGTGCTAAAAGTGACATTTTTCAATTTTTGTCCATTTTATTCAATCGCGAATATCTCGTAAACTAAAAGAGATATTTAAGATCTGATCGCAGCGTTTAATCTACGGACTAAACTCTTATAAGATAGGATAGTTAAACGAAATCTGAGAGATGAAATTTCAATTCTAAGAAAAAATTCGCTAAGGGGGTGTCATTACTTTTTTCGACGATTTGATAATCACTCATTATCTCTAAAACTAAAAGAGATAGCCAACGAATTGTTGATTAAGAAAGTGACCAAAATTCTCTATCAGATAAAAATATAAAATACTTATTTCCTACAGAAAAGGTCAAAAACGCGACTAAAAGTGCTAAAAGCGACATTTTCAATTTTGTCCATTTTATTCAATCGCGAATATTCCCGTAAACTATAAAAGAGATATTTATGATCTGATCGTATGTTTTTATCTACGGACTAAACTCTATAAGATAGATAGTTAAAATGGAAATCTGAGAGATGAAATTTAATTTAAGAAAAATTGCTGGCAAGTGTTTGATACTTTTTTCGACGATTTTTTGATAATAAATATCTCTAAACTTAAAAGAGATAGCAGCCAACGAATTGCTGATTAGAAAGACTGAAAAATTCTCTATCAGATAAAAATATAAAATACTATATTTCCTACAGGAAAAAGCAAGGTCAAAAACGCGACTAAAAGTAAGCAAAAAGTGACATTTTTCAATTTTGCCCATTTTATTCAATCGCGAATATCTCATGTAAACTAAAAAGATATTTAAGATCTGGATCGCAGCGTCTTAATCTACGTGACTAAACTCTATAATATAAGATAGTTAAACGGAAATCTGAGAGGATGAAATTTTTAATTTTAAGAAAAATTCACAAGGGGTGCTTCGATACTTTTTTTCGACGATTTTTGATAATAAATATCTCTAAAACTAGCGATAGGCAGCCAACGAATCGTTGATTGCGAAAGATTGGAAAAATTCCTCTATCAGATAAAAATTTAAATGACTAGATTTACAGGAAAAGGTCAAAAACGCGACCAAAAGTGCTAAAAAGTGACATTTTCAATTCTTGCCCATTTTATTCAATCGCGAATATCCTGTAACCAAAAAGATATTTAAGATCTGATCGCAGCGTCTTAATCTACGGACTAAACTCTATATAATATGACAGTTAAAACGGAACTGAGGAGATGAAATTTTAATTTAAGAAAAAATTGCCAAGGGTGCTTGATACTTTTTTTTCGACGATTTTGATAATAAATATCTCTAAAACTAAAAGCGATATTAAGGCAGCCAACGAATCGCTGATTATGAAAGATTGAAAATTCTCATCAGATAAAAAATTTAAAATGATTAGATTTCCTACAGGAAAAGGTCAAAAACGCGACCAAAAGTGCTAAAAGTGACATTTGCATTTCTCCTTACATTTTCATTCAAAATGCGAATATCTCGTAAACCAAAAGAGATATTTAAGATCTGATCGCAGCGTCTTAATCTACGGCTATTCTCTATCAGATAGGACTGTTAAAACGGAAACTGAGAGATGAAATTTAAGTCTTAAGAAAAATTGCCAAGGGGGTGTTTTGATACTTTTTTCGAGGATTTTAATAATTAATATCTCTAAAACTAAAAGCGATAGCAACCAACAAATTGCTGATTATGAAAGAATGAAAAATTCTCCTTTAGATAAAAATATAAAATAATTATATTTCCAATAGTGAAAGATAAAGAAACGCGACTAAATGTGCTAAAAAGTACACCAGCACCACCAGATGGCGCGAGTTGAGTTTTCCCTACAGATGACAGCACTACATGTCTCTATATAAAATAATCCTATTCAAAGTGTTTTGCAGTTCCTAATTCTTTTCCAACCTGCATAAATAGAACTCTAGTAAATCTCTTAACGAGCGAAGCCAAGAGTTGTGCTGTAGTAAAATAAGTCTGTGTAACAGCTACAGGACACGTGTTTTAACCTTAAATAAGCTTATAGGTTAGGTTAGATTTAGTTCGGTCAAGGTTTTGTTGGTGGGTTTGCTTGATTTAGGTTAAATGAGGTTAAATTAAGTTATGTTGTTGCTAGGTTGGCGTCAGGTTGGCGCAGGTTAAGTTAGGTTAGGAAACTAAAAATGGATACTATTACCATATTTTTACTAACCTTAAATTTATCATCAACAGTATTCCTACTAGACTCAAACTCTGGAGAATCCAGAAACTCGCAGGGAAGAATCGGATGTAGAAATTGATTATCTGATAAAACATTGACTTTCCCTGATAGCAACAACCCCAGACGATCTGTCCTGGTCAAATTTTGAACGGCATAAGCTTCTCCCGCGTGCAGGGACATTATTTGCGAGAATTCTTCACTCACTATCTTTTTAAATTGCAATCTAGGAATCTAAAACCCCAAAATAGTTAAATTTTCATTCTGATTTTCTAATTATGGAATTCTCTTACCTTGAATGGTTCAAACAAGTTGTGATAAACTTCCTCCAACTCCGGATCGAACTCAACGGGTCTCAATTGGTAAATTATGTGAAACACTTGACCAATGTTCAGCAAGGCGAAGGCGAAATTCCAGGTGAATACGTCCGGCGAGCAGATTACATTCCAAGCCCAACCGCAGAGCAGCAGCAAGCCTGGAGCACAACATAATCCCATTCAAATAGCGGAATGTGGTCAGCGCATTGAGTTGCGATGGAGTTAATTGAATTACCTATTATCAGCCAGATGTGCATGTGCAGCGCGCCTTTCTTTGTGCACTTGGACGCGTACGCTATCGCGAAACACATGTTTGCCATTTGAAGAGATAGTGCTGGGGTTCTTTCCAGTAATCACACCATGGCCACCAAATATCTACAAAAAACTTATTACAAAATCAAACAAAAAAAGTAAACAGCATTGCAATGTTTAGGTTCTAGAAAATATAAATGATACCTTTGGGTATTGTATAATTTAGATTTTGATCTTCCAAAGGCCAGGAGAGACTAGCTCCTGGAGAAACATGAAGAATTGTCGTTTCTGTTGGGTTGAAGACCACCCAGGTCAGGATCCGACGGCATTTTGAACAAATGTCACGTGTGTTTTGAGGTGAATTTTAGGAGGAATGTGTTTCTTTTTGGAATGATTTTGCTTCACTGCTCTGCAGGCAGAAGCAGTGGAGGAACAGAAAGGTCAATATTGATTTGTTTTTCAAATTAAATTCAAAGTACTTCACCTAGGAGCAAACAGAAGAAGAGTGTGAGGAGAAACGCTGTAAGAAGTTGCAGGAGGGTAAAATTCTGGGCGGGACCTATTTGAATAGCGCACAAGGGAAGGGTGATCATGAGTTGTTAGGTCAGATGTAGATAGATGGCAGGAGTTATTCCAAAATAAAATTTTTGGAGAGAAAAAAATCAATTTTACGAATTATTTTATCAAATATAATAACCAGGTTTACGTTCTATGGTCTTGCTAATTTCTGGTTTTCTAGAAAAGGTGTTTCAATGGGTTTTTTAATGTTTTGTTTGGAAAGTCCTATTAAAGTAAAACTATAACTACTAAAGTAACGGTTCTGACAATATTTGACGGCATTGGATCGAAATTTCTACCTCTTTAAACCCTCGACCCATAGTCAACCCAGCCATCAAGCACGCAGCTGCTCAATACCGAGTAGTTTCGCTAATCCACCCGTCCGACCTTCCAACACCCAGAACGTTCCTTCCATTGGCCGCCATTCCCTTCCCCTAACCTCAACTAGGCGTACACCAAGAGGACAAAAGGCGGGCTCGCTGCAAACCCAAATTAAGTGGGAGGTACCTGCCTGGAAGCAACCGAAAAGCGTCGTAGTCTGTTTGCGGTGCCGGTGGGATTAAGTAGGCTGTGCGTATCGAAAACTGTGGCACGTGCTGCATCCGCTCGTAAACCATCTATAGATCCATTTAAAAAAATTTCAAAAATTTAAAATATTCAAATATTATTACCCCAAAAGTGAACCAGTAAGAGTATCTGTGCGGATTGTTATCAGGAAGTGTCAGAAAGGTTGTAAGAATAAGTTGTAGGGATTTGAAGCAGGAAAGTTGTAAAAAGTGCTGTGAATTGTGACAGAAATCAATTTTCGGGGATTGCATTGTTTTGGTGACGAATTGGTGCGCGTGTTTGGTGATGTGCCATGAGCTGCTCTGAAGTTATGTACCAGGCGTACTATCCGTATCTGTATCAGCGGGCCGGCGCCGCGCCGGCTCATCCTGTGCCACGGGCAGGACCTTTTCCATCGCCCTTCAGTGCTGCACATCAATATGATAGGGTTAGTCAAAGTTATCACCATAAATTTTCCAAAAATTTTGATTCCAACCAAAATTTTCGAAAAATTTAAAATTTTTGATCAAAAAACCTTCAAAAACGTCCAAAAAAATTCGGTGTCTTTCAAGTGCCCTTTATGGTAGTCCCCAAAAACATTCGGCACTTTTGTCCATCCCAAAACCTCATTTTTTCTTATTTTAAAAGAACCTCAAATGACAACTCATTAATTACTTCAATTTCTCAACCTCCCGACGGAAACTTTTCCTCTATGTCTAAACACAATCTATTTAATTACGTAATGCTTCGATTACTTTGCAACCAGCCGCCGGTAACATTTACTCCATTAATACACAAACTCATGCACCAGATAAAAATTATCTAAGAAAATGCTGTAAGACCATTACAGAAATTAAACGCACTGCCAACAGAAACAGGATATACTCAAGCACAAGACTTATAAATCATAAGCAGGCAACTTTATGCACAAATTTAAATAATGGCAGTCGTAAACCCAGCGCGCACACCATCCACACGCCGCCTTCGTTGTTCATCGTCTTCACGCGAAGAATGAAGACTTCGCCGAGGTCCGCCCATGATCAAACACCCGGCATCGTCCGTAGGTAGCAGTTAGTGGTTATTAAATTATCATAAAACTTTCATATCTTTATATATCGAAATCTTTACGCCGTCGTAAATCATGACGTTGTTAAACTTACAAACTCTGCGTTTTCTCAAACAAAAAAACGACAAAAAACGTTTCCGTCGTTCATAACTTTCAAGTGTTGATGGGTTCTAAGTGAGATAGCAATCTAAATCAACGGATGATCTCCGAGATACTTTCGTCAAGTAAAGATGTCCACATGACATTTCATGCTATTTTATATACTTGGCCTTCCCAAGATGGAAATTTCAAGCAGTAGGAGTACGAAAAAGTTTCGAAAAAGAAAAGTAAAGTTAATACTTTAGGTTAGAAGTGTTGAAAACGAAGCGCAAGTTTATTATATTACAGGCACGAGTCGACTACGGTGTTAAATTACAAGGCTTCATCTTAACTTTAGCCCCGATCGCTTTAATATTCCTCGTGAGACGCAGGCTTTCATGTTGCATGTAGCTACACACGCCTCATGTTGTGCAAACATGCGTAAACTTCACTAAAACGTGTCTGTAACTGTCAAAACACAACATAACCTTAAATATGAGCTATTTTGGTTGTCAGTTGACTCCAACGCCATCTATTGATGTGATTTTTTAATTTTTTTAAAATTAAATTAAATGGTTGATGATGTTTTGAAACAATCAGTGTTTCTTTGTGGGTTTTGGTTCGGCAAACTTGCGAATCGTTGTTCCGACGGCAGCGAATGTGCCGGTTAATTTGAATGTTAATATACCGTGGCTAACGATTATAAATTCAACGCTTTACTCGTTTACGCACGCCGGTAAGCGAGCGAGTGGTGCGTTGCAATTGAAATGAAGATTAAAATTAAAATCGCTTCTTAGAGCTCTCTCGGCTGCGGCGGCGTGTCATTAAAACGCGCAAACGTCCAATAACAACGCGTCGAATCGGAATAAAATGGTAATGACTTCATGAATTATGAACGCAAACAAACGGCCATGCTTCGGACTCCTCGGAAAATGTCAATATAAAAAAACAAAAGAGCTTTGTTTGTAATTCGTTTTTTGTTTGTTTGGCAATGTGTTAATTTGGTTGCAGAAACAACTGTCAACAAGACAAGAACATTTGTTGAAAAATTTTATGTATTTTGTCGCATTCCGATCGTTGTGAATATGAAAAATTGCGTTTTAGACGCATGTGCATGCCGGCGATGTGGATGATTAATTAAAGAGTTGATTAATTAATTAATCCTTGTCTAGTTGTGGATATCATAACCGTTGCAGTGTTATTAATGCTTTTATATGGACACAATGTTTCAATTTCTGCACGTGACACTCCTAAACATAAAAATTCTCATGTAGAAATTTTTTTCTAAAGAAAATGTTTGTTAATTAATGATTAGTTGATTAAAAATAGAAAAAATGCATTAAATAACATGTAATTACATAAAACATAACATAACCTAACATAATTTCACCCAACATAACCTAACATAACCAAACTTAACCTAAAATAACCTAAACATAACATAACCTAACCTAAAAGTCCATTTTTTGATATTTTACATGATAATCCTTTCCTCTTGGTATTCCTATGTGCGTTGTTTATGTTTATGCATCAAGAGACGTACCAATGTCCTCCGCAGCTTCTTCAGTGACCAACAACTGTCCGCGTGAACATTGCGCCAACATTGCACACCGGTGTACTTGCATTATCTCCAGCACATAGACTCCTCAAGTTAAAAGCTCCTCTCTGGCTTCTTTCTTCTGCATGTGCCATGCGCGAATGCTCGCCATTCTTACCTACTTGTCGCACCTTGTTGCCACGCTTGTAAAGTCGCTTATTTATACCAACGGCCTGGCAGAAGTTCCACTCGGGCGGAGTGAAGTATAACTCACTACTCACCTGGCACTGGCATCGCCTGCGAGAACAGATTAGGCTTTTACTGCTGCTACAGCAAGCACAAGGACACTTGAAAGAAGATTATGAAGAGACATCAAGTCTCCTTTACTCTCGACCACAACCAGTATTTGCTTATGATGGCGATACCGATGAGTATAGTCTGTGTTTGAGGTTATGTTGAGGTTATGTTACGATAGCGTGTGCTATGCAAGAGGCAATCCACTGATTTTTACAAAAGTTAAGGCGATAAAAAGTAAAAGCACGACTGCAATCTCAAGCTCACAGCTTGTCCATAAACGATATGATGAAGAGTGAAGAGTGAATAGTGAAGAATTCAGAGACGGATATAGAAGTAACGACACGTTACACACTCGATGCGCATGTTATTCGTGAAGATGCAGCATGATGCATACAAATGATCTTTGGTTAAAGTGACTCTTGGTGTTGTCGATGTAAATTAATTGCAATACAAGCAATTTGTTCACAGATTTCTTTGGTTTTTGTACTTTTTTCGTTGATTTTCCACGAGAAATTGCTGATTTATTGTGTGTTTATGATGATGAGCTTGGCAATGGTTCAAAAACATACGACTGGGTTCTAACAGACGATTACCAGTATTTTGACAAGTTGCAAAGCATCGCATGATGTTCAAAACGTTTTTTCTGCTTCCTTTGTTTGACAATTTCTTTTATTCATTTTTTTTTGTGCCAACGTCAGTTGCAATTCTTCTTTTTATACAAACATGAAATGCGAAACAGAAGCGTGCTGCCTGTTGAGTTATTCTTTTGGTCCCCTGCGCGGACGTATAAAATGTATAAAATGTACGACTTCCGGATGTTTGGACGTAATGTGACATAATTAATAAACGTTAACTCTTTACAATCGTCCACCGGTTTATTTTTTCATTTTTTTTTTTCATACACTTTCATCTTGATCTCCGCCATTTTTTTTATTTTTGATGAATTTTCTTAACGTTAGCACATAAATTTCCTTCTCCCTTCTTCGAAAACAATTAAAGTTAATTACACGTACATTATGCCTGGGGTGGCGACGCGTAGGCGGCGAATAACCGCCGGCGAAATGTACCCCTTTGATATCCGACGATTACTACGTTAGATAAGAAACTTTTTGACTTTGTAACCGCTCCCCAAGTCACCCACCCTTTGTTTCAACCTTCCACAAGGCTTGAAAGCTTCATTACAATAAATTATTCTCGATAAATTGTTCTAAAACCTTTGTTATTTCACTTTTCCAGTTTAATGTCCAAAGATTACAAGAAACAAGTCATCCACTTAGTCAAGCATCAGCGTCGGCGAGCGTGAACGTCCTGCCGTCGGGTCTGGAATCCAGCAGCACATCAGCCGGGGGCGGCAGCGCCGCCGGTGTTTATGGTGGCGCGGCGCATAGCACAGGCGGTTCCACCGTCGGATCCACACCTAGTAGTCCACTCCGACCACACAAAGAAGAAGAACAGCATGATGATTCATCCGAAGAGGGGGCGGCAACACCGGGCGGCTCGCGTGCGCAGTACGTCTCCGCCAACTGCGTTGTCTTCACCCACTACCAAGGCGATGCCGCCGCTGTCGTCGACGAGCACTTTTCACGAGCGCTAGATAAAAACACGCATGCAAAAGGTAAATTTTTATTTATTTTTAGTTTTAATAAAAAATAAACAACATAACCTCAAACGGGTGGCAATTACAAGTCTCGGGTGACTCTGAGAATCGGCGCAAATGTCTTTTGGTAGACTTGTTGATCGCCGAATGCTCATAGTTTATGTGACAAAGTGTTCACAAACAGATCGGTGCGGAGATGCGCTTTGCGGTGTCTCCGTGGGTCCGATTATCACGCAATAAATTAGTCTCCGAACAGGCGCGGTCGAAAAGGTAGTCCAAAAAGCGGTCGTTTACCAAAAATCAACAAGTTTGTTGGTTTTATATCCGAAGATTTCTCGCTGAGATTTCAAAACGTACATAAACCTTTAAAAAAATAACCAGAAATATCTCCCAAAGAGTTATTTATGGTTTTAGTGCTTTTTATGTAAACCTAACCTCAATTCATAACTATTTTAATGGCGTAGTTGAATATTTCGCGTAGCGGCTTCTGGTTATTTGATATTATGCTGCCATTTTGAAGTATTTAAACTGATATCTTTTACGATCCATCATCTTTTCATCACGTCAAAGGGTATAATGTATAAATTTCATTAAAGAGTCATAAATTAATCATAAATTAAAGCAATTCGCTGCCGGCGGGCTGCCGAGGCGTTTCGGTGGCACACCGTGCGCCATTAAGCTACTTTACTAAGTATAGCTCACTTTACGATGGCGAGTGGTTAAACTAGGGGTCACATTACGCCGGCGCGGCAACATAATAAATCCATTATCGTTAATTCATCGCGCGGACGATATCGATCGCCATTTTATCGATTTCGGGATTGCGGCCAGCGCGATGAAAGTGTTTGCCAAGTGTGCAATAACTTGATCTAGAAGTAAGAGCATAGAGTGGCGATTAAAAATCGATTTTCTAAGCGAGTTTAGAGGTTTGGAATTGTCGCTTGAGATGAAGAAGAGTTGTTGGGGATATCTAGGATCGGCATCGCTTTGATATTTATAAGATGCTGTTGTAATTAGCATGTTTTATGGCTGATACATCGAGCGCGTACACTTTCCGAGATACGCTTCCATGTTATTCAACGGTACCATGTTTAGCGTTTACTTGGAATATCGAGAAATTAATTAAACTGGTATTTTGAGTTCAATACCGGTATTTTGGATATTTTTTAGTTTTTTAAAGAAAATATCGGTATATCAGTATATTTCGGAAAAAGCATTTTATTGAAAAATACCGGTATTTGAAAATAAAACCGGTATACCGATATTAATACCGGTATTTCAACCGGTATTTTAGTATACCGGTATTTTTTTAAATTAAAATATTAGTATGTCGATCTGAACCAATATTATTTTGAAAAATACCGGTATTTGGAAATAAAAATACCGGTATACCGGTTTTAATACCGGTATTTTTCAATATTACTTAGTAAACTTTATCAAATTATTTATTTATCTAAAAATATCGTTTATTATCGATGAATTTTCTGTTTCTTTAATTTTTTTAGTGGCACATTTATTTCTTTTGTGTTTTGTTTTTATTTTTACGATTTGTCGTTTTATTATTTGTTTATTTAACGACAAATAAAACACGCATTTCGTAGGTGCTTATACCTTTATGTCCCTTCATCGGCGGATCGCTTTTTACACTCGCAGCGCACTAATTCGTGGCTTCTTTCTGCGGCGGCGAGAATTTCGGCATTCCGGACCAAGAAAAAAACTTTTATTGACATTCCATCGAAGGTTTCCAACATATATTACGTCGAGGGCCGTCGAAAGCTTTGAAAATCGATCGGGGTGCAGCGTTTTTCGGCGCTTTTACTATCGCGCAGTCGCGTTTAATTGAAATCAAATCGTAATAAACGTAGGCAAACAAACACACACACAGCGAAATAAAAATAAAAATAAAAAAATCTTCAGCGGTGTTTATGCGCTTCTGTGCCTTTTATATACGAAATAAAATCCCGCAATAAAAATAAAAGCAACGTTTGTCGAAATCTTAAATGATAGTTTTATTAATCTAAACGTTTTGAAACATTTGATTCGAATAAAAAACATTAAGCAACCAAGTTCACACATAATTCAGCATAAAAACATCAAAATCTACTATGGAATGCTGCCGAACAAAGAAACATTTCGTTAATTTCTGGTGCTGGATATTCGGCTTGGATTAAAACATAAATTATCAAAAACTACAATAAAACCGAATTCCACGAGAGCATTATATAAACAATTAAAATAAATAAATCATAAAATACTATTGTTTATTCATTCATGCGTTCATCACTTGTTTTGTTTCGTTTGATTTTTTTGTGTGCCGCTAGATTTCTTAGAACTTGTTAAATTAATTATCCGAATTCGAAGAGTGCTGCAAGAATAATTTCTAAATTTTTACATTTACTCGTTGAAGCAACAAAAGACGACATTTCGCAGAACATGCAAACAGTAATTAATAAAGCAACAAATTAAAGATTTACAAGCATCGACCTTAGCGTTGAACCTTGCTGAAAATTATTTACGATCTTGTCATCGCCTTGAATTAAAACTTAAAAAAAATTCAAAAGTTTATTTTTGTTTATTTCCTGATTATATTAGGTATATTATCGAAAGTTCTTCTTTCACTTTTAATTTCAAATTTAATTTAAAATGCTTGGATAAGAGTTTCCAATTTGTTTACGCGGGCAATATTTAACGATTCAATTATAAATAATAGAAAACAAATTATTATGCTAATCGCAGCGCTCGTTTGTCGTCTCAGACGAAATTAACTAACTATTCGGGCTGCGGAGGACCACACACGTCTACGCCGCTTGCCGAAAGCCGCGCGACGATAACCTGCTTAATTAAAACATACTTAACTTTGTTGACTTTGTTAATAAGTGTGTGTTCGCGCACGCCGCGCCGGAATATTCAAATTAGACATGATATATCGCGCATGGAGCGTCTCTTTTCGATTTCTCACACAACCGGATGACATAATTAATAAAATAATAAGCTGGAAAATATGTTGTGACATACCTATAATCTATAATAGTGTATTAAGTATCAAGTGCGCTAAAGTCACTTTAACGACGTTTTTTCAAGTTTAAGTTTTTAAATTTGATTTTTTGTATTTTTCTATTTAAGTCTTTAAAAAGTCAGTTTTTCACGGTTTTTAGACACAAAAAGTGGAATTTTAAGCACGGGCGGTCAAAGCCGTGACTAAAGTACTTTAGTACTTAGTAAAGTACTTTAGTAGTAAACACTTTGATACGGACTTTAGTCTGAGATTGAAGCTGCGTCTCGCTACTTTTACTCTTAATCAATCTCATAACAAAAACTCACGTTTAACCACTTTCACCCTGAGAATATAGTACTTTAGTCATGACTTTGGCCATCCGTGATTAAAATACCACTTTTTGTGTTGTTTTAAATGTGAAAGTAGAAAAAATAGGTTATATTTGAGGTTAGGATACAATTTGTCTTTGTCCATGGACATTTTGGCAGGTAAAGCACCCTGGGAAAATTCCTCTCCGTCGCACAGCTCCACTTTTCACAAAGGACGTTTGTAAATAATGTAAATTCGCGTGGAATGTCAGAAATTCCCGCCGTTGTCACGCCGTGTACACCACTGCACGGGAACGACAAGTGCACGCGAGAGCGTCAGTAATCGGGATGAAACAGACTATGGCTGAAATAATTCAACTGTTTTACCCAAAATATACCGAGTGTTGCTAAATTAAACTTTCAATATAAAAAATTAAAAAAAAAAGCGCTGGACATCGATTCGAGTGACGAGCCGAAAAGAGTACGAAACCCGTTTCGGAATGCGTCGACACGCCGGTGATTTATATAAAATGGCATCTGATTATTTGTGAATGTTAACGTTCGAGTTCGAGTATTGTCGGATCCGCCGGGCGGCCTTTGAGCGCGCGCCGCGGTTCCCACACTTCTGCAGCGCGTCATCTCGTCCTTCTCGTCCTGCCACGTCCTCGACTTGTAGCGTTTCACTCCGGCTGGCGACCGGTCCGGGGCGCGAGACCAATTCGAGGAACCCGGCGCGCGTTTCGGACGCGTAAAGAACGACGTATCGATGCTGATAATAAAAAAGAAAACAAATCCAAGGAGCTCGGTTGGGAACGTTTGACGGATGGCTGCGCCGAAAGCGCCGAGCGAATGAGGCATTAGAAAAACCATTCGGGATTCCAGCTTTGATTCCGATGAAATCACTGAGCGAGAGATGAAGGAAGCCGCGCGCCGCATTCCAGGCTTGCTTTTACAACTCGCCGGCGATGGGCGACATTAGGCGACAATCAGAAAACATAAATAAATGGCTTTAATTACACGAGATTTCCAACACACATTGTCTTCAACTATGGAATTTAATATTTTAAAATAATAGAGATTTTTTAAATCAAGATAAACCAAATATTTAAATTTATATTTAAATTTTTAGTTTAACAAGTGTTTAAGAAACGCGTCGAAGATAACAATCAGATTTTCGTGGGTCTAGTATCTTGTCACCGGATTTATAGTGTTAGAATTATCGTAAATCATCTTGTACCTACGCCTTTGTTTCAAAAACTCTTCAAACAATAAATTCCACTCGAAGAGAAAAAAAACTCAGTTAATTACGCCTGTAGAACATGAAACCGTTGGAAAGTTGGTGGAAAGCGCATAATGTCACCAAGTCACGCTTGTGTTTTTTGTGTTATCAGTGGTGTAACATGTGTTTAAATACGTATTTTATTTGCACTTGCAGATACGTCGCCGATGTCGACGCGGAACTTCCCGCCGAGTTTCTGGAACAGCGCGCAGTATGGCACGACGGGGGCGGGCGCGAGCGGCGGCGGCGACTTGTATCAGGGCGCGGCGGGCGGCGATCACTATCACCCGGGCGATTGGTATCACCAGTACACGGCGGCGTCGCATCGCGCCGTTCACGACTACCATCACCACCACCACAATATGGCCGCGCAGTACGGGAGTCTATTGCTGCCCGGCAGCCGCCTCCACATGCCCGGGGCGCAGTGTAAAGCGATGGACTGGCAGCATCCATCGCTGGAGAATCCCTATACCTCATATTCGACTATGACCGGTAAGTTATTTTCAATAGAGTAAAAAACAAAATTTTTAAAAAGAAAAAAAATTATTTGTGTAAGTTAAGTACTGGCATATTCTGCTCTCATTGGTCAGTTGCTCTTTGCCTGTTGTACGAGTATTGATTCGAATTGTCCGTCGGCAATGGTCGGTGCTTCCTGGAAACGCGACCACTGGTCAGTCGACTCGACGCCTCTCTATCTCGCTTACTGCTTGGCTTTGTTTTCACTCTCTTGGGGTGTAGGTATATAGCCATGAAGCCATGAACTTATACGCGTGTGCAGTTTACATAGAATTTTAGACGCAGAGAGAGTTCTAGTATTGTAGCGTGTTTGAAGAGGGTTCTTGAAGAAAGGAACGAGATGGACGTGGCCAAGACAAACGAGATCAGGTTGCTGCGAATGGTAGCGATGCCATTTTTGTAGGTTTATTGCGACGCATTTTTCACACCTCTGGTGGACTTTCACACTTGACCGAATAATAAACAACAAACTAGTTGAATTTAATTTTTTTAAGTAAAAAATTGATTTTTTCGTTTTTTGGGATTAATTTTGATCGTGGAGTGTTAATTTAGGTTAGAAAAATTAGGTTATGTTAGGTTATGTTGGGTTAGGTTAATTTAGGTTAGGTTTTAGAAGCTTCCAAGTATATTTCTTTAAAAATTTGGTTAAAACAGTGCAAATATGATAGAAAACGCTATAAAAACAAAAATATTTTAAAAATTAATTCAAAAACTAGTCACTAGGTTAGGTTATGTTAGGTTAAGTAAGGTTACTTCAATATAGGTTAGGTTACAAGACCGAATAATAAACAATAAGCTAGTGGATTACATTTAATTTTTTAAAGTAAAATATTTGAATTTTTTTTGTTTTTTGGTTTAATTTTGATCGTGGAGTGTTAATTTAAGTTAGAAAAATATAGGTTATGTTAGGTTAAGTTAATTTAGGTTAGGTTTTAGAAGCTTCCAAGTATATTTCTTTAAAAATTTGGTTAAAACAGCGAAAATATGATAGAAAACGCCATAAAAACAAAAATAATTTAAAACTTATTTCAAAAACTAGGCTAACCTGATGCTGTAGTGGTTATGTTGCTTATGTTGCTGCTGGTTATGTTGGAGTTAAGTTAAGTTATATCAATTTAGGTGAGGGTTAAACTTAGTTCATTCAAAATTCAGTCAAAACCTCGAAAATCACCGCAAAAGCAAAAAAAAAACAAAATAACCTAAAACTGTTTTAAAAGCTACTCACCAGATGGCGTCTTACTCAAAATATTTAATTTTTATGTTTTTATTTATTTCCAGGTTTAGAAGCACAGGTGCAGGATTCCTCAAAGGACCTCTACTGGTTTTAGTGCTCCAACTAAACAAAGACAAAGTCTGTATAGTGCTAAATATAAAATTTGTTAAAATGGGCAGTAAAATACTAATATATTTGATTCTAAACGCGACGACGACAGTGATGACATTCAGTGGACTTTTCTACAAAAAAAAAAATTCACCACCTACTTGAAACACCTTCAATGTACAAATGTTTCTGACTTGCAGCCGACGCGAAACGATAGCGAATCGTTACCTAAAACCTAATAATAAATAATCAGACACGTATTAAGTTATATAAATACTAGTTAAACGTATACATTTGTAGTTGATATGGATTGAATGTTCCTTAAAACTCCGATGCGGATTCAAAAAATTGATTTCTTTGAATGACATCATTGCTATGATTATGATTAATGAAATTTTGATTTTTTAGACAATTTTTACATCAATGGCGTATGTTTAAAACACTAAAACATAATTTCTGTAAATATTTCTTCTTTAAATTAAAAAAAAATCAAGAAAATCAACGCCTTTAACTAAATCAACAAAAGAAACACTTTGTAAATATGTTAATATGGCTAATATTCAGTATACCCACACTAGTAGCGCTTAAATTATTGTAAACAAAGCTGGAAATTTTGAAATTTGAAATTTTTGAAATTTTTGAAGATTTGCAGCGATAGTGTGTAAAATGTAAACATAAACTTTAAACGACGATAATGTTGGCAAGTGATATAAGTTAGGGCCATCGTTTTATTCGACACACTGTATTATTATAATTATGACTTAATTGTAATTCGATTAGTAAACCTCTTACACATTATGATAACTTCAATCACGGCAACAAAACAGAAAACAGAAATGAATGTAATTATACCTACCTATGCTGGAAATAAGAGTGTATGACTTGTATAAATGTGAAAATGGTGACAAAACATCCAAAACTTGGTTTAATGTTTGTGCAATAAAAACAAAATAAAAACAAATTCATTTTTATTTATTTTTTCACAAAATTTTAAAAATTTAATTTTTGTGTAAAATTTTTCTTCGTGACTAAAACCCGTGATTAAAGTATTTTAGTCACGGCTATGGCTGCCCATGTGCAAAATATCGCTTTTCGTGCCCCAAAACGATGAAAATCAAGTGTTTTACAAGTAAATTTTAAATTTTTGGTGAAAAATCTTCTTCCCCGTGGCTAAAACCCGTGATTAAAGTATTTTAGTCACGGCTATGGCTGCCCATGTGTAAAATATTGCTTTTTGTGCCTCAAAACGGTGAAAATCAAGTGTTTTACATGTAAATTTTAAATTTTTGGTGAAAAATCTTCTTCCCCGTGACTAAAACCCGTGATTAAAGTATTTTAGTCCCGGCCCTGGCCGCCCATGTGTAAAATATCACTTTTCGTGTCTCAAAACAGTGAAAATCAAGTGTTTTACAGGTCGAACGTAAAAAAAAAGATTTTAAATAAATAATTATGAAATAAATCGAACATATGGCACTCGCAGGGCAGTTTGTTTGTCGGCACGACGCAATCACAACGCGCAATCATTATCCATCCATCTCAGCGCTCGAAATTGTTCAAATAAAAGCTTTTAATGCTGGTGCGCGCGCTCGCGGCAGCAGATCTCCGATCTCCGCGGGCCGCTCGAGAAATGCGCCGCATATCTGCTTAATTATATTTTTTACGTCGCCATCAGTCACACGACGCGAGCGTAATTACACCCCGCAATTACATTTTCCATGTAAAATTCCGCCGCGCCGAGCTGAGCGCGCGCGCGCTCTATCGATGCATCGGCATTTCGCATATTCCGCTCGACTTCTTACTCGCCACAAGTTGCTTTCATCTTAGAATGAAACAACACTTTGAATAACTCAGTTATTTCTTTGTTTACAAGCAATTAAATTAGGTTATGTTAGGTTAGGCAACCAGATGTTCATTTTATTAACCTAACTTATATAGATACTTATTAGCAACTTATTTTAAAGCTATGGTTTTACTAATAAATTATTTTTCGACACATCCTCGTTCTAATTGATCCCCGGCGTCATCAATCACCACGCATACGGTAATGAGGCATCTCAATCGGATGCGTAGGAAATACAAATAGCATTGGGTGCTACTTTCCCTAATTAACACATGTTTTTCCTTCTCCTAAGGGTGCATCTTCTGCAAACGGTGAAATTTTACGTTCACACCATTAGTAATCCGATACGACTGTGTGCGGACATATGCGAAACACAGCCCTGTGTCGGTATCCTTTTCTTTGCATTTTACGATTATTACCTAATAAGAGTGTTGCACACTGCTGCGCACAACAGAAAAATTAATATTTTAAGTGGTCTTTAAGCTGTAAATGTGGATGGTGTGCCGCAGCATCTTCCCGAAGATTCACAGCAGATAAAATCCGGCAGCACACGCCGCATAAACAAAAACGGCGATTACTCGTAAAACCCGCGCGCGCGTTCAATATTTTGACACTTTTACGAGTTGCACTTAACAACGTGAAAATAGGAAGCTAATGCGTACAAATTTGTTGCGGCTGTTCGCTAATCACGACTTTATGATGCTGTGTTTCAGAATAAAGTATAAAATGATTAGGAAGGCATTAAATTGGTTGAAGATGTTGAATTTTTCGTGTGTGTTGAGTGGTTGACTGGTTGAGCGGTTCCCCAACATTTGCTACTTGTTGAATATCGATAAAATTGCCAAAATGTTTGAAACGCGCGGCCGTTATTAATTTGTAAGTAGCGATGACAAAACATGCGAGGAATGCGAGACTTTCGTTTGATGTCGCGCCGACCAAATTGATATTTTAATGCGATCGCAACGTGCGCACTTGCGTAGCGAAGCAGCATGCCCGGACGGACATGTTCGCGGCCGTCAAGCGGAGGCCCAATTATGCAAATGCGGAGCGGGCATATGTATGTGATCGAATTTATTGGATTCATCATTGAGACACTACAAGACTAGGTCTTACATGGAAATTGAAGATATTTGAAAACGCAAAATGATGTAGTAAATATGGGTATAGAAATATATTTGGTTTAAGTTATTCTTCATTATTTGATGAAATAAGAAATTAGTTTACTATGATTATTTTTTATAGAAATATGTTTTTGTGTATTAATATTGATAAAATATGAAGAGTATAAATTTATATTTTATTAATTTTTTAGCTTATAAATAAAGCAAAAGGTAGTTTTTGTTGTTTTTGTATTAAAATATTACATTATTACAAAATAAATCAAATAAGTATGACAATAGTCTCGAGATGCCGCTTTACGATGCACTATTTTGCATTAAAATTAAATCAGGTGATTTCTTACCTTTCTAGCAGTTTGCGTGTGTGTCAGTGAATTCGCGCGGCAACAATTGACGATTGCATTTATCAGTAACCGCATGAGATATGGTGCACATTGGGAGAATGTCAACACACGAACAAAATATAAATATATTACTGCATTGAATAGACAGACGACTATTTATAATAATTTAAATAATTCTTGACTTTTGGCAACAAAATATTGTTTTTTTAAAGCATAAGTTATGTATGTACTACTTTAAATTTAAATATAAATTAGTAAAGAATAAAATAAATAGAAAAAATCAAGAGGTAAAAATGAATGAAAATAGAAGTATGATAAGCATTTTTCATCTAGGAAAACAAAGCAATAAGTAGCGACAAATGTAATTTATTATTATATGCGCATGAATAGAAGAATTGCGTTTATATTTCGACAGGTAATCAGAAATACACGGGTACAGTGATAGCACCCGTTATTCTTGTTGTTTTGATCGTGTTTCTCTTTCAAGATTAGAATATAAACAAAACAAATATATTTTATGGTCCCAAGATGCCGCTAGGATGCACTATTTGTAATAAATTAAATCAGGTGATTTCTTACCTCAAGTTTGCGTGTGTGTCAGTGAATTCGCGCTTCGTAGTGGAGATTGTACTTATCAATAGCCGAACAGATAATGCACATTGGTAGAACGTCAACAAACGAACAAAATAAAAGAATATGACTGCGTTGAATAGACTGGAATACTAAATGAATATTCTTTTTAGTAATTCTTTCATTTTCTAATGATAAAATTTATTATGTTTCTAGAAATATAAAGTTATGTACCCATATTTAATTACAAATTAGTAAAAAATAAAATAAATAGAAGAAACAAAAGAAAATGAATGAAAATATAAGTAGGTATAAGCATTTGTCTTCCAGAAAAAAAAACAATAAGAAATGTCAAATGTAATTGCAAATTTCATGCGCATGTTAAGAGAATTGCGTTTATATTTCGACAGGTAATCGTAAGAACACGGGTCTAGTAATAGAAAGAGTCAAACATGTTGTTTTGATCGTGTTTCTTTTTCATGATTTGAATATAAACAAAACAAATATATTTTATAGTCCCGAGATGCCGCTGAGATGCACTATTTGCATTAAAATAAATCAGGTGATTTGAAACAACAAGTTTCAACATGTTCACATTTTACTGATAATGCGCACGTCGTAGCGAAGATCGTACCAATCTGCAGCGATATCAGATAGTAAAGTAAACATTGGTAGAATCACAACAAACACACTAAATAATAAGAAATAACTGCATTGACTACATAGAACTGTTTTGACCGTATTTCTCATTCATGATTTGAATATAAACAAAACAAATATATTTTATAGTCCCGAGAGGCCGCTGAGATGCACTATTTGCAATAAAATAAATCAGGTGACTTCTCAGTTCAAGTTTGTGTGTGTTTGTTTTATTGTACCTATTTGTAACGGTATCTGTAAGTGCACATTGCTGAAATCACAATAAACAAACACAATAGAAAGAAATAACTACATTAAAGAAGAATAACTGCTGTTTCTTTCAAATAATTCTTTGATTTGTTAATAATTTTATTTCCCTTTATAGAATCAAATTTTAAAGCCTAAAATTTCATATATTATAAAATATTATAAAATATTTTGAATATAAATTAACATAATTTAATTCAAAACCATTTTTTGATCAGATCTGTCCTTTAACGTGTCTAAACTTTAAATTATTAATTAATATCTCACGGACTAAATATTTATGCGTTGAGACACACAACCTCTCAGTTGTCAATAGAAACATGACGAACACGTCTAATTTAATTATAATATTATCAAAAATATGAAAACTATGTAAGTTATAAAATACTGATACCATTTTCAAGCGCGTTTGGAAACGTGCCGAGCCTTTAACTTAACCTGCGCTGAGCAGGTTAGAATGTTGTGACGGATTAATTTTATTAATTTTATGCTGATTTGGTGTTAGAATTTTATAGATTTATGGAGCGGTCGTGGACGTTAATGTGTAACATTTCGACATTTCCACATATCAAATCCACGATTTAATTGCTTTCGCAGCAACCTCAACGCCGCGCGGCTTAAATTTCAGATTTGAGCGCGCAGTTGAGAAAGTTGTTTTATCAATAATAAAATTTCACACGTTTTGATTTTATTTTATATTTTTGGATTACCTAAATATTAAAAAAATATAAAAAAATCTACTCATATATTCATTGAAGTAGAAAAATCCTTATATCTTCTCCAAAAATAAAGATAATTCAAGTTTTTCTTTAACAAATTAAAGTTTATGAGATTATTAACCATATCCGCACTATTTCAACCCTAAAAATTCTTGTTAAATGCCCTTAAATGTCCTTAGAAAAACAATTTGCTATTAAAAACTTCATAAACTTCAATAAATTGAGTTTTTTGTCAAATTTTGCCTAAAATAAGAAAAATAACAACAAAAATACATTTATTTTATTTCAATATTATAAAAATATACTGAGTGTTTCCTATATCAATTGTAAAATTTAATTTCTCAACATTTTTAATAAAATTTTGATTAAAACTTATTAAAAACTTAATATTTTTACTATTCACCATCTTGAGAATATAATTTCTAAGAGATTATTAACTGAATTCCTAAATATGCTCACAAAGGGAAATTGAGCGCGCGCTGGTGTGCACTGACTATATCGGAAGATGATTGCCGAACGCTTTCCGCGGATTGCGCTAATCAAGTGCCATTATTGGCTGCTTGGCTCGCCTCCTTGCAAACTTGCGCGAGCGTGAACACAACGCCACACACACTCACTCACAAAACTCCTTCTCCTTCTATACACCTCTACCTCAATCTATATATGTATAAGTAAAGATAAGAACCCGCGGAAGCACTCCTCGAACATCTTCCCATCGTCATCTACGAGTACTCGTACTCGTCTGCTTGTCATCTCCAACGTCTCTGCGCGGTAATTGATTTCCAGGAGGAGTTGATGCGAGCGCATAAGGTAAAACCTTCATTTTTTTCCTTTCTACGCTCTGCTCCATTTCATTTCATTTCATCTTTGAGTGTTTTTACATCTCGTCATCATTTTGCTTTTATTTTTATTTCCGATTGTGACTTACAACTCAACGCTGCACATTCGAAGGCCCTTCGAAGTTATTTCTCAATTCCACAATGAGTTGGCAGCTCACGAGACATTTCCTCACTTTTTGCCCGACAAACACGCTGGGCTTCCTTGTAACTCATTTGTATTCACGGAATGTTAAAACTAAAAATATCAAGGGTGGAAATTTAAAAAAATAAAAAAATAACTCATACAGCTAATCATGTTTAATAATCGATTTGAACGTGAGTGTTTTTTGCGTCAAAGGAAGTTTTACTTAACGAGGATGAAGATGAAAAAAAAATTGTGTCGCGCGTGATATTAAGACAGCGCATCGCGTTGTTTATGTCTATTGGGGTGTGTTATGACAGCAATATTTCACCCTCAAGCCGGGGACGCAAAGCGGCTATAATTACCCGGATGGAGCGCGCGCTCGCGTATAAATCACGTTCAAGTAATCACAATTGTTGAGGCTGACATTGCGCTGCGCTGAACTTGAAACGAAAATAGACGGTAGCGAGAAATGCACGTTCGGCACAACTCACATTCACATTCAAAGTGGTAAAAGTCGTATTCATTCTATTCATTAAACAGCCAACAAAAAAAAATTTTTTTAAATAAAAATTCATTTTAAAACTTAATTTCTAAGATTTAGGTTATGTTAAAATAGGTTATGTTGTCTAAAATGAGGTTATGTTAATTTAGGTTATGTTTTTAGCAGTTTTGAGGTTATTTTAAGGTAGATTCGTGTAACAGACTGTATAATGGCAAATAGAATCGATGTGAATAGCTAGCAATCGAAACTATGCGCGTAACGCGTTGAAAAAACAATCCAGGAATAACTTTCCGAGTGAATTGTGTACTTTTCGGCCGTGGTGCGCCGTTAAACAGCACCCCATTCTCCATGTCGCGAACGTAAACGCAAGAAATAACAAAAACACGAATACCATGCGACACTGCAAGTGAAAATGCATTTTTAAACGCTAAATGCGCATTAAATTCGTCGCGAAGCAAATTCTTCGACGTTTGCTCATCATTTCAAAGCTTTTAAACCTCAATATACTAAAACTAAATATAACTATCTCATTAAAAAATAATTTACATGCATAGGTATATTAATTGAGTCAATTAATTTCGTTTTTTCATATTTTTAGCTATTTTTATTGGTGGACGGTGAGATTATTGAAATTTATGACAGTTTAATATGTTTTCGGATGTTTTATGCGATGAGACTTGATTTACTCGGGAATTAATTGAATTTTTGCCTAATTTGCTACGAGTACAGCGGTCTTCTTGATCTGCTTAACGACACGTCGTTTTTATCACGCAATTAGAAATCGTTCCGATTCGATCGATTTGTTTTGACACTTTTTTCGATTAAAAATTTTGATTTGAAGTTTGGTTCACATATAAATTATAAAAGTCCTTGATACTTTTTAAATTTTTTTTTTATTTTGTGATGAATGATCGATTCGACGATTTGGTCGTCGTTTTCGGGTGATATATCGGCCGGCGGTGCGCGGCCTCACTATTAAAATATAGCGGCGGAATATGGCTTGTCGCGGCTTGTAAGGACCAATTTACAGACATTCCGAGAGCGTCCTTTCTCGACCGCTGCGGCCCGGCGATTGGTGGCGGCGATAACGGAATGCCACCGTTCCGTTCTTGCATCCACATCTTCACACAACGTTTTACTCATACAATGAAACAAAACCCTTCTGAACCTTTCAACGTGGAGAATATTTATATGCACACATGTAAAGTAAAGGTCCGTGGATCTTTTACTGTGAGAAGCGATTATCAGTCGCCTAGACCAGAAAGAAATGTTTATGTGGTCCGCATCAAACGTAAACCTTCGATGACAATTGTTTTATTTATATATTTATCGATAAAATTCAGTTTAATATGGTGTTTATAAATTAATTGAATTGTTAAATTAGGAATATTTCCAATTTTTACATTTTTGATATTTGATTCTCATTTTTTTGATATTTTGATTGCGGTTATCTCAGAAACTAAAAGTGATAGAGAGGAACGGATTAAATATTCTGAATTATCGTGAAATTCTCTATAAGATAAAGTATTAGTAAAATGGGTATTAAAATAATTCAGGGTCAAAATATAAACACAAAAATGCAAAATACGAATTTTTATATTTTGCAATATTTTGATTGCGGTTATCTCAGAAACTAAAAGTGATAGAGAGGAACGGATTAAATATTCTGAATTATCGTGAAATTCTCTATAAGATAAAGTATTAGTAAAATGGATATTAAAATAAATCAGGGATCAAAAACAAATATAAACATAAAAATGCAAAATAGGAATTTTTATATTTTGCAATATTTTGAATGCGATTATCTCAGAAACTAAAAGTGATAAAGAGGAACGGATTGAAAATTCTAAATCTACGTAAAATTTTACTATTTATCGATAAAATTCATCTCCAAACGTTTTTATGTATTTTTATAGTAAGTAAAGTATAGGCAACCAAATATACATGTAAATGAATAACAAATTGCATAGTTTGTCATGTGTGTATTTGTTTCACTGATTCGTTTTACGTGGAAGGCGCTTTATGACAGTCGAGAGACAAAACTGGTCCGGTTCTGATCGGCATTCTTCTCATTCCGATGCGAGCCTCGAGAGTCAACCCGCTGCGCGCCGGAGGCATTAAACACAGGCGTGTGCAAATCTATTGTTTGACATGCCAATTCTATGCCAAAACATCATCATATTGCTACATATTTCTACTCCTACGTTTTTACACAATCAGCATTAAATGTCGAGTACGTGTTGAGTGGGTATTACGAGTGTGACCTCATTACACCCACGCAAAATAGCAATTATTATATTATTCACATGTAATTTATTATTAACATTCATCGGGGATATAGCTCAGTGGTAGAGCATTCGACTGCAGATCGAGAGGTCCCCGGTTCAAACCCGGGTGTCCCCTAATTTTTATTAAGTTTTAAATTTAAAATTTTGGCTAAAAATAAATAAATTTTTTATTTTGACAGATTTTGTTGTTTATCTTGTCCGTTTGAATGTTTTAAGTGTTTGAAACATCGGAGTTTGTTAGATCTTCAGATCAATCTCGAACGATTTTTCAATTTCACCCAACACAATTAAGATATCATGAGTGGCGCACGGCGCAGCGTTTGAAACAATCAGACGAAATACTTCTTGCTAGCCGTGAATGACGGCTGCACGAACATCTGAGGCTGCGCGCACGAACAAACGCCACGCTTAAATAAATTACGTGTAATTAATCAAGCGTCGCGAGGTAATGCGAGGCAATTATTCGTTATCGAGCGCATTTTCGGTTGTCCTTTGAGGCACAAAGTGGTCTCGCGGACCGAAAGGGTACACACCGAAATAAACCTGCTTCACTTGCTCTCAAATGTAAAACAATTAATTTACGAATTAGTCAAATTAGTTAAGTGTATTTTAATCAATGTAAAATTAGTTAAAAAGAGAGTTTTTTTAGAATAGAAATGATGGTATACCGGTAATACCGGTATTTATAAATTAATTGAATTGTTAAATTAGGAATATTTTCAATTTTTTAGATTTTTGATATTTGATTCTTATTTTTTTCGTTATTTTGATTGCAATTATCTTGGAAACTAAAAGTGATAGAATAAAACTGAATAAATATTCTGAAACCTTGTGAAATTCTCTATAAGATAAAGTATTAGTATAATTGATATTAGAATAATTCAGCGGTCAAAAATGAGTATAAACACAAAAATGCAAAATACGAATTTTTATATTTTGCAATATTTTGAATGCGATTATCTCAGAAACTAAGAGTGATACAGAGGAACGGGTTGAAAAATCTGATTCTACGTAAAATTTTCTATAAGAAACTGCATTAGAATAATGATTATTACAATAATTTGAGTGTTTAAAAATGATTTAAAAAAATATGCAAAAAACGTTTTTCATATTTTGCGATATTTTGATTGCGATTATCTCGGAAACTAAAAGACATAGAAAGGTACACATTAAAAATTACAAAATTTCTTATATGTTAAATTAGTTTAATATATTATAAACGTAAAAATAATTGAATGAATATTTTTTCTAAAAAAATTATTAAAAACTTGTTTTTACGTTGTTTTTGCGATTGAAACTTAATAATTATGTGATTATGCACTTTTTCTTATACATGTTGTGCTTATTCCAAGACAGTTTGAGACTTTGAGACTTTGGGACAGTTTGAAACAGCTGCGGAGCACCGCGCTAGAAGGAAGACGCTTCCGTCAGTAAATCATCCCGCGCTGGGGAGGTTCGCCGCATTCGGGGACATTTCTCACATGTGCGCGCAAGAACAACTCGAACGACACGAACCGATATATTGGTTGTCCGTTAACTGCCGCGCTATTTTTTCCTCTCCACCAGTGAATACGAAATTATGCGGGAGCCGAGCTGGTGCGGGCAAATTGCATTCGTAGACAAGACAAAAACCGAAAAAAGCACATAAATTATGCAAAACATCACGACACAAACAGACAACATGAATTATTATATTATAATCATCATTATGAGAAAAATTAAAGAAAAAAATAAAAAAAAGTTTTAGATTTCATCTGACTTGCTTGATCATTATAAAAACTGAAAACCCAATCGAGTCATCCGATAAAAACCGAAAATTTCAAACGACAGTAGTTCGCTCGTAAATTATGCACCTTTCAGTTCACATCTGAACTTTGTTACCTTTGATTCCTTCCCAATATCTAGCGATACACTATCGTCATGGCGCTTGTAGATGTTTATCTTTATTACGAACCCCCACAACGCATTCAATAATAAAAAAAATAATCCAAAAAGTCTCATCTAATAAGTTCGCAATTAAAACGAATACAAAATAAAGTTTTGAGAATATGTATCTGACAAGTTGACAGCGACAGCCATCTTGGCAAACGATTTAATTCCAGCGTGCGCAGCGCAGCAGGACAGAAGTTGACACGTTCGGAGCGCTTCGTTAAATATTAATCTCTCTCATCGTTTCTTCATCGATCGCAATGAGTAATAGTCGTAGGCATGAACAATACCGAAGCTGGCGCTGGCGCTTCACGATGCAAGATGTAGGATGGTTTATAAGATGCGTGCGCGCGATAAGTGTTAAGACAATGCGGTTGGGAGAAGAGCGGCGCGCATCTCGAGGTAATCAATAATGCGCCGAGAGGTTGGTATCGGCCTCGGCGGGGGGTAGTCGGTCCGAAAACGCGACCCTCGTTAGGGATGACACTGGAAAGACGGATCTCGACGGATTCCGCATAGAAATTCATCTCGGAGCACCTGTCTCACGATGCGTACGGACTGCAAGAGTTTACAATTAGGAGAATGGGAATATTGAGTTCCGATATTAATTTTCAATTTTTTTCATATTTTCATTGCGATTATCTTGGGAACTAAAAGTGATAGAGAGGAACGGACTGAAAATTCTGAATCTACTGAAAATTCTCTATAAGGATAGAT